AATGTTGTTTTACAAAAGATGTCTCGTAGAAAGATAAACATCAGAAATAACTTTTTCACAAGCTGTATAGAGTGACGTGGTTTCTAAAATAAAGTAAATTGTTTAATTGGCACTTACACATTTTACCCATAATGTAATAAGATTTATTGTGAAGAATTCTACAGTTTTCCACGCTTTTACTTTATTTCATAAAAAAATGTGAAGAACAAGGGTTTCAGGTTAATTCCTGTTGAACGCTTTCAGTCAGCAAAAAACCTACTCGATCGTGATCTTAGTGGAAGTCAGACCAATTAATTGGTAGAAAAGTTGCAACATTATAATTGGTGATCAGAGTAATACCAAATCAATAATATGTCTCTCAATCCATACATGATGGTATTGTATCAAATTGGAGAAATTACTGAAGTTAGACGAACAATAAACTACAAAGTTATAAATTATTATCAAATAAAGTATCCAGCTGTGCAAACAGATTGCACAAAATTTCTTACCTTTAAAATATTTCTATTCACGCGCTAATCGTTTGCATTCGAGATACGCTTTTCAGTGGCCATTTGATTCAACATAGGAAACCGACAAAATTTAAAATTCAGTATTTAATTTTGTATAATGTATCAACACATGGCACATCGAAATAAAATAGTTCCGCCCCTTAATTTCTGCACGATATTTCTTTATGTTAGTTGCAGATAATATTATTGATATTTCATCAAAAAATAAAAAGTACATACCAAAATAATTACTAAATAAGGATAATTCGAATAATTTGAATTTCTATGTTAAAAATAAGATGCTATACTTAAACATTTCTAGCATGTTCTGTGAGATATGTAGTCCTCAAGTGTATATAATCAAAGAAGTTGTCAATTTCTATAACATTAGAATTATGTTACTTATGTTCCGATTTTTTGTTTTTATGCTTCTTGAATGATCCAAATTGACACCGCAGATATAGGAGTATGATGGTTGGCACTGAGCTTCACTGTATGATGTATAGACAGCTTGTAACGCAGCCTGCGCTTGACCCACTCGCGGCCATAAGACGTTTAATAAGAGAAGCGTTGAACTAGAATCGTTCCAAGTTTTTAAAAGAGTTATGTTGAATGTGTCCCATATTCGTAGAAATATGACAACTCTATATTCCCTTATAAGCACTGTAAACCACACACTTATAAAAAAGTTCCATATAATTTTAATAACAATCAAATTTCTTATAAATTTAAGATAGTTACTCTTGATACCAGGAATATGTTAAATAAATAGCAGCATGTATAATGGTAAACGAAACATTGTAGTTGTTAAAACTGAAGACGAACATTTTAATATTTCATTATTCACGTGTCTTATATTTAGTATCGGTGTTTCAACATTTGTCTTTAATGTTCAGAGGTTGAAATATTTTAAATTTTAACATTCTTATAAAATGGCACTATTTTAAGTAATTATGATGAAGGTTTAATGACCAAATCTGAAGTACATAAAATGAAAAATTTGGAATACGTTAGTTACATTTTAGTATAAATTGCGAAAAGAATATAAATAAAAGTAAAAATAATATAAAATAATCTTAAGTCGAAAATGAATTTTCAAGTTTGATTTTCTCGCAATCGAAAATGAAAAAATATTATTGTTTTTATGTATAAAACAATCCACTGCTTGGTTATAATATCCGTTCGACCGCATCCTGTTCATTATTGTATTGACCGTTTAACTGTTACTAAACTGTATCTAAACGAGTTCAAAGCTACATATTACGTCTAAATAACGAATTAGCAATCAGATACATATTAATTTATCAACGAGCATCCGTTATCGCAATTAAAGGATTGATTACACACAATTACCCCGATCGTGATCTCTACCGCATCAGACTGATACAAATATAATTAGCCAACACATTTTATGAATTGCGTAACAAGTAAGTCAATAATTGGCCAAATCGGTTAACTTAACAAATCAGAAAGTAGAAAAGTGATGCAATAATATACATCGATTTTGAAATTTCCTTTCAAATGGAAAATCAAATAAACATTATAGAATGTATTTGAATTCATTATTACATGTACAGCTTTAATGTGACGAACATATAGTATCCATAACATAGTGTATCTTTCAAGAAATATTTATTGTTACAAAATAATGACAAACCCAAAATAATAGAGAAACTATGTTTCAATTATAAAAAGTTAAATCTGAAAAAAAAGATTTGTCCAATGAGCAACTCAATTGATATTTTGAAGCAGATTTTCAAATCATTGAATCGCGGTTAATATATATCTATTTTATATCTACATATAATAGTTGTGATTTTTTATAGAAATAAGCAGTCATATTTTAATTTTCTACAGTGTGCAATATGTATTTCAAGTTTGATGGTCTTGAAAATCGTCGATATTGGCATTCAATGGAATCTAGTTCAAATATCACCGTAATTACGGCATTCGATCCGTTTTGCAGTTTCCACCTGGACCGTTCCCTTCATGTAATTACTTTACATCGGGTCGCACCGCAAACGGCAGCTGCCTACTAATTTCGTATTGGACATGGCGCAGACAGAGAATATTCGATTAATTGCAACGCTTTTCAACCGAGTGTCTTGTAAACTCCCGTTGCGTTGCCAAAGACATTTGCAACGGCATGCCCAGGGGTCTGAAAGTACTGGATTAAATTAAAGCTCAACCGTCGCTGGCTATAACTCGATCTCTAACAAACCCGTCTTGTACCAGAATAGGTGAAGAATGACAGGGCAAACTGGGAATCTCCGTTTCTGTCTTGTTACTCCCGGTTTCTCGCGTTTAATTGAACCCCTTCCGCGAAGAAAAAGAGAAATCGATTCCTATAAGGGAATTTCTAGTTTCTTTCGGTAGATGAAAATTTGATTAGATTGATAAATTATATATGTTTTACATATAATACAATAATAGTCCACAATTAGTTTTTCATTCGTTATATTCTGTTAATATTAATAGATTACCAACGACAAAAGATGTTTCTGTCTGTGAGAAGAGTAAAATATGCTACATATATGTATCATATAATATATTCAGTTATATAATGTATCCATACGTGAAGATAGTTGAAAATATAATTTGTCAAAATTGTGTTTTCAATCATTTTCGAAGGTACTAACATTGAAATATGTTCTAAAATATTATTCATTTTCAATTGTGTGATACAGATGCAAATATCATATTCGATTTGATACGGAAGAAGTAGGAAAGAAGTAGTCAAACAAGATGAAAAATACTTTGACGTAGCTCTTACTGTTCCTTCAGTGGGCATAGCAATGTGATCGTAAGTTTTAATTACACAAAAGATTTCATTTCTCCATAACCTTGATTGCGCCCACATAAAGAATGTTGAAATTAAGCTCGGAGAAAAATTTTCTGTGACACGATACTTGACCCGATTATTTCCTACAGAAAAATGTAAATACTTTACATGCCAGTACCGATTTAAAACAGGCAAACAAATATTTATTATGTCGAATCAACAATTAATATACTAGAAAATTTAATTAGAAAACGAAAGATTGCGACGATACGATTTCAATATCGAATTAAAAAATTTTAAATGGAATATGTATAGAACAAGAGAAGAGTTTGGAATATTAAAATGTGGAAGAGAAGTAGAAAATCATTTGTTGAAAAGTATTACAATAAGAAGTTAGATATTTTTAACCAACTTTTTATGATGTAAGAATTTCTGCTTAATGAACCAACGTCACTGGGAATACTTAATGGAAATTCGATGCTTTTAGAACTTAACATAAAGTGGAATGTATTTTCAGAAGTGAAGAATTGAATTAATAAGGGTATGTTATAGTGAAATATTCATGATACTTTGCGTCGTTAACTTAATAAAGCAATCACTGAGAATAATGGGAACGTGAACAATCCAAAACTTAAAATAAATAGGAATGAATTTTCGGAGATGAAGAATTAAATGATCAAAAAGCTGTTATTTAAATAAAATCAAATTCATTTTTATACCTGTTACAATTATAAAGAACGTTTGTTTCATGTTTAATACTTTTATTCCAATATTTTAGTAAATTCTTCATAAACTGCTTGATACTTGATAATTTGCTCTAATTTTTAGTCCCATTAATCACAAGAAACGAGTATTAAAGTTTATTTCTACAAATCATATCTTCCTCCACAACAAACGATTAAAAGAATTTCACAGTGTAAATAGTAACAAGTGTGGTTATGTTACAAATCAGTGTCAAAAATAGATCCGAGCAATGCGTGTGTTCCACATTCGCCTTTATTAGTTAGACACAAAACGAAATATCATAAATGTCACTCAGAAACTGACGAATTTAATTACATTCACAATCACCTGTCCACTGTAATATATTTCATTGATAAAAGAATTCCGCATTCGTTACCAAACTATGAAATTCGTATAATGTGTAACCGATTCAAACCCATTGATTAATTCGTAACAAAGTGATTGTTGAAATGTCAATATAGCCACTCTGATCAGTGTCAAACATATTTCCGACTGATATTTCCAATTATGATTCGTTTGCTAACGCTTAGTTTGAAATTCAGCGCAATTTCAGCTGTCAAATAGAAAAAAACGTTCATCGATCAATCAAGGAATTATTCTCAGATTAAAATTGTACAGGGAGGAAAGAAATGATTGTACTTTCCTGTATCATGATTCTACAGCTTCAGTTTGATAAACATTTAGGTAAAGAAGCTGCAGCAAAATTGCCTCTGACTTTGAAAAAGAAGGTTAACATTTTTTATTGCGCCATCGCATGAACCATGAATAAAAAATGAATAGTTTTTATTAAACGATTATTCTACTGATCACAGAAAACTTGATGTTCGTTCATTTGGATAATTGGTAGAAATTGACGTAAACATTTACCAAATAATGTTTATAAAATTCAAGATACGTCGAATTGACGTATTCTGTAAACCTAGTGTTAAGGAAAATGGGATCGACGTTGTTTATCGATTAGACCGTCGCCGCGGCGAGTGGCATGGCCGTCTTGCTGGGCAGCGACCGATCGATAAACAACGTCGATTCCATTCTCCTTAAGCGTTTGAGTGGCAAGCAGCGCGATCGCGCTTCTCCGGTGCACTGGCTAAAAGTGTCACTCTATCGGTTCGTAGAATCAAATGAAATGTATTTATTCGTCTTCCTTCTAATTATTTATTTTTATTTTTTTATTGCCTGTTTAGAAATGGAAAAGTAGGATCCGAAGAAAATATCGAATTAAATCTTTTCCTATGCCGCTCTGTTCGTAAGATAATTAAACCTGTAAACGTTCATACATCATACACAAGCATTTGTCTTCACACTAAGTAGAAACTGACAGCGACGAATGGTTAAGGACAGAGAGTATCAGAAAAGGACAATCGATACCGCGTTCCTCTACTCTCTCATGCAAGATTCAACAGCGATTTACAAGAAAATTATTCATTTTTTACCCATGGTTTCCTTGGGACTACGTGTCTTCACGGTAAGTAGAAAACGATAGTGCAATAAAAATGTTAATCTCTTTTATTAAGGTCGGAAGCAATTTTGCTGCAGCTTCTTTACCTAAATATTCATCAAACCGAAGCTGTAGAATCACGCTACGACAAGGAAGTGCATTCATTTCTTTCTATCCTGTACAATGATAAATAACAGTCCTTCACGAACGCTCGAAGTGAATAGACGAACTTTTGCTTCAGTGTTTACAAACGTACGCGTGTAAGCCTCAGGCTTTAGTGGTGCAGTACCGGTGACAACGTTTCAGTGTTAAAGTGCTAAAATTTCTCAAGAGATTTAAAAAGCCGAAATTACCTAATTAATGATTGCACCAAGGTGCAAAGCATTCTACGAGGGGCAATAAGTGATATTTTAACCCTCTAGGATGGAATCCTCAGCAAAGCTACCCCAAATGATCTCATCAACTCAGAAACAGAAATCTTACGCTACAGTTACGTCTGCCAATATCTTCTCAAAAAAGGATCAAGCTATCATTATCGAAGCGAAAAAAGGACTTCCCACTAAGGAATATCTGTCCAGTTTAAGTAATCTAATAAACCCCAATGAAATTCGGTTTTCATGAAACATCTCAAACGGTCGTATATGTGTATTCCTGGCAAACAAAGAACTAGCTGACAACCTTACTAGCAAACACAAACAAATTGTAGTACAGGGCCACTCCCTAGAAATTAGGCCACTCATAACAAGACTTAAAAGAGTCGTCATATCTAATGTTTGCCCAGTCATCCCCCATGATGCGATAGAAACGGAGTTAACGAAAATGGGAATTAAACCAGCTTCTAATATTAGTTTCCTACGAGCAGGGACATAAGAGTCTGGCTTCGCTCACATTTTGAGCTTTCGATCACAGGTTTGTGTGGATCCTGTATATCTTGAAAAAATTCCAGAGTCAATACTATTAACCTTCGAAGATACACAGTACCATATATACCTTCCAACCGAGACATCGGTATGTTTCATATGTAAACAGCAAGGCCACCTTGCCAAACAATGCGAACGTAACAGAAAATATCCCCGATACGTGTACAGACAAAACTAAAGTGGCGGATAATAACAACGTACCAATATTAGATGTTCCTACATTCGCACCTCCTGACGACCCGGTCATGCATACCGACGAAATAGATAAATCAACACCGTGTAATAAACGACCATTATCCTCGTCTAACTCATCAAGCATAAATAATGACAACGAAAATTCAGGTACCCCAGAAAACATCAAAATCTCCGCTAGGGAAGATGTCTTGTTGATGACTAGCAAAAGACCAGCTAAAACAAGCAAACGCAGTAGCTCCAAAGAAAAAGATAAACCATCTCTTGACGCATCGCTTCTACCAGTTAAAGAATTCCTCGAAAGATCCACCTCTCCGTACATCCTAAATTACTTACAATTTAAGGGACTCTTCGAAAATCTACAAGGAGTTTCCAATCCTTTAACAATAACGAGGGAGTATACGAATAACACAGAAGGAATTATTCACATGACGGATCAAGTGTATCCTATAGTAACTGAACGATCTACCAAAATTAGACTCACTAGAATTATTAAAAAGTTGAAGGCATAAAAGGCCCCAGATCGAAAGGAAAGCATCTCAATTCCTACAACGCCAAACGATACATTTGAAAGCGACTCTGACCAATATTTCTAATCTTCTGAACATGACGTCTATTATACAATGGAACGTTATTGGCTTCTACACTCACTACGAAGAGCTCCAAATTATAATTAAAGGACATCAACCCTCCATCATTGGCCTACAAGAGACAAATTTTAAGAAAGAGGTCCGAGGAGACTTAAAGGGTTTGAGAAATTCTCACGGATTCGAACGTCTGGAAACTGTGCAAGCGGAGGTGTCACCTACGTCAGGAATAATCTGCTCTCTATGGAAGTGCCATTACATACTGACTTAGAGGAATATCATTAGAAGAAGCTATTGGAAACACAGAGAAGACAGAACAAAGTCTAAGATTTTTGAAAGTGATCGGAATATACAATGATATAATATAAGTAAATAAAAACCTAGGATTACGTTAAACTGTTGGGATACCATTTAAAAATCTGTATCATAAAATTATTAGCTATGTTACATATGTAGGTTAACTCTAATGAACAACTTGTAAACTTTCGCTAATGACCCAAGTGTTAATGCGATTATAAATAAATATAAATAAAAAAAAGAAAATGATAAATAAAATTTGTCATTTTAATACATTGGAAAAATTGATAAATCATTCTCGTGGAAAATTGGCACGTAGCAAGGCTGCGAATGAAAAAGTCGAGATATTCTGTCTTTTTTTTCTTAAGAAACGACAAATCGGGGTGAGACTTAGCCGCGGCTTAAATTAAATGTCCGAGTCGTGGCGTCAGACCTGAAAGTTTACAAGACGCGAACGAAAAAGTATTTCAATCTGCCAGCATGATCAAGGACGGTCGTACTTGCTTACGTTACCGGCAAGAGTTTATTTAATGTACCCCTTGACGCGATTACGAAAGCAACCAGAGTGAAAAAGGATTAAGAGTGGTTAACTAGCGGTCGCAGCATCAACGAGACCGTATCATCTCTTTTCGAAAAGAATCGCAGTCGAAGTAGCCCGGAAAGTCCGAACGCTAATCCAACGACAAGTAATATTTTCTAAACGAAGGTATTATAAAACAAAAAGAAGAAGTATCTTCAGAAACTTGTTTAATGAATATTTTATCAGAATTATATATACATATTCTTAATGTCACGGTATTAAAAGAAGATTCTTTTCAGTTGTTAATAAAAGGATTAAAAATTCATTGTTACTTAGAAATGTTATAGCAGCATAACCGTAGACGACAATCGAAAATTCAAATTCGTCGTACTTACAATTAGAATGGTATATTTAGACTTGAGTATGCGAAGTAGGACAAGGGAGGAATGACTAAATCAACGAGATGGAAGACTTTGTTCTAGAGGAATTCACAAATTCAAGGACACGCGAATGTGAATTGAAATGTTCAGCACTGTCAATTCGCTTGAGTGAATTTGGAGCTTGCCTTCCTTTCTTTTTTGAGAAGAATAGTAAGACAGAATATCATGATAATGATAGGGTAAGAAGTAGCAAACATTCATTTCCGTTTGGAAAGCCTGTACTGCAGACATTTAAACTTAACACAATTTAAAGGCACTTACAGATTAGCTAATAAGGAATATTCAACGTAAGTGATCCTTTGCACTCGAGAGGCGATTCACGGTCGCCATTTGATTTAACATAGGGAAAATGAGAAAATTCAATACTGAATATCAAATTTGATGTAATGTAATTACATAGTAAAACGTGAGATATTGGAATAAAATACAATAGTTCTATCATATGACTCGCGTATTATTCCTACTTAATACGGTCAACAATTCAATTAATGTTTCATTGAAAAATTATGTACATATACAGCGAAAAAACTTTCGAAAGGGTTAAGAATAAATTACATAAGAAGTAAGTAGCTTACATCGCTTTATATAATTGAACTGTTTTTCTGGTAATCAACTAACTTTAAAGAACGTTCATTTAATTTTATTTCGCAGCTCTTTTTAATCATAAAGATTAAACATGACAGAGAGAAATTCCGAGATACTTTCTGGCTTCTTTTCATTCATAAAAAGAATTGTTGTGTAATTGTATATTTGTATAGTTATACGTGTCTTCTGTCTATTGCATGTCCCTTAAAATTAGTCACCAGCCCACCTAGTGATAACTTCAAGGCATTCTTTTGATTCATCAATTCCTCTTCGCCCCACTTTCATCTTTGGCCTATAATTTCGAGAGGCGAACAAGACAGCTCAAATGAGTCACTATAGAGAATAAGCACAGCAAAAAGGTATGATGTACATATACCCGGCAGCAATTTTATCGTCAAAGGTTTTCGCAGATGCATGTTCAAAGTAGACAATTTTCTAATATTACACTAAATCACTTATTTAATGATGACGTCTAATTTATCTTTGTAACCCATAAAAATGATCGAATAGTTATATTATCAAAAATATCTTTCCACTTTTTTTCAATACAGCGACTGATAGACACTTGTAATAAAGCATTGAATTCTTTTTTGTGCATTTGTTCTATCCCCCACACTGTTTAAAATGTATCACGAAAGCAATTTTATATAATTTACAAATTATCAACAATATGTTATATATTGTTATGGATATATAACAAAAATTTTCTCTTGAAATTCATCTGTCACGAAACTGTCAAAAAAGCAATTTGTATTGCAATTTTTTCAACAGATACAGTATTTAATGAATGGCTCATTTCGGGAGTTTTTGCTTTAAAGAAACATGTTTGAAAAGGAAACAAAAAGAGAAAAAGATATCTGACGAAAGACCCGAAAGCAGTAACACGAGCGAAATCTAGGGGAAGTGTTGAAGCGTAAAGGAAGAAAGTGCAGGGGTTCGTGAAGGTCTGGTCAGTAGAAACATACGCCAAGGCCAGCCAGACTACCACGAAACCTCGGAAAATATATTAGAAACAGAAAATATGATAGATAAAGTCAAGAGTCTCGAAATGAAAAAATCCCCAAACGATCACAGAGATTCATGCAAACCTGGTCATTCAATATTTATGAAAAATGGCCAAGATTACACAAAATTTGCGAAAAACGTAAAAACGAGAGTAAATTTTATAATAATTAATTAACCAGCGAAGACATTTTCGCGTTAGTACCAGTTAATATAAATTTAAATAGTCAGGTTTGTTATTTTCCAAGAGCAATCGAGTGTTTCTTCAGGTACACACGGTATTGTAATAGTATTACAACTTTTAAACTCCAAATTAATAGTCATTCAATTTTTCGAGCAGTCCCGAAACAATCAATGCTAACATTTATTAATAATAATTAAATGACAGATAACATGTATACTAATCCTTTTGATTCTAAAGTACGTCGTCCTGAAATTGTATAATCCGGTCTGTCCAATCGAATTTCATAGTATGAATTGTACT